ACAAAGTCATAGTCCAAATATAAAGCAAATACGAATGAGTCATTATTTTGAAGTCATGGAATGTAGGAAGGAAGAATGTATTTGCTCTTGACCTTTTATTAGCACAAAGTTAAGTGACATAGAAATGCAATTTCTTCTTCATTAGGAAATTAATACTGTTAATATCATTCATACCAACTGGTCTGCATTGAAAAACATGTACAAATTATAAAATTTTGAATACAACTTGTTAGGTTGCAGTTAGGGCACTTATTTCCTCAACTTAAGAAGGTGAAAAGAACTTGTGTTCTTTTCAAAACAAACCTACCAAACAGCCTAAATCAATGTAATTACCAAAAAGTAGTGGAACAAAGAGAAACGAGATGATATAAGTCAATTCTTCACTTTTTGGTGTAGAAGGCCCATAAGTAAACAAAAGAACTGGACTGTTATTTTAGTATGAAATTAAAAAAGAATAAAAAGTGCCTGTTGCTAGGGAGCTGGTATAGGACTGGATGTGGAAAGGATGGCACCTTTCTTTTATTTTATGGTCTTTTATTCTGCATGAACTGTTTTGCTACTTTGCCATGAAAAAATATAATAGTGGGACTTTGGTCCAGAGCTTAAAAATATGCTTGGGATACACATATCCCATACAGAGTATCTGGCCTAGTCCTGGCATTTGGAGAGTAAACCAGTAGTGGGGAAACTGCCACTTCCTCTGAAATAAATAATAAATAAAAATGAATAAAATTAAAAAAAAACACAGGAACTTCTTACTAACACGTGTTTATAACACATAGTGGAGTAATTGTAGGGCTTCTATAAATCTGTCACTAAGAGGCAGTCTCAGCAAAAATTTACATTTGTGACTTTAGTGAAACCAGAAATAATGAAACTTAAACATGAATTCTGATGGGATAGATCTAATATGGGACCTGAAATCCCTATTACTTACAAGGTCCCAGGTGATGCCAGTAATCTGTACCAAGGATCAAGACATTAATACAGAAACAGACATCAAGATTATTCTATGAAGGGCTGGCACTGTGGCACAGTGGGTTAAAGCCCTGGCCTGCATCCCATATGGGCACCGGTTTGAGTCCCAGCTGCTCTACTTCCAAACCAGCTCCCTGATAATGTGCCTGGGAAAGCATTGGAGGATGGCCCAGGTCATTGGGCTCCCGCACCCACATGGGAAACCCAGCAGAAGCTAATGGCTATTGGCTTTGGATCAGCTCAGCTCCAGCTGTTGTGGCCACGTTAGGGAGTGAACCAGTGGACGGAAGACCTCTCTCTCCCTCCCTCCCTCTCTCCCTCCCTCCCCCCCCCCTCTGTCACTACCTCTCTCTGTAACTCTTTCAAATAAATAAAATAAATCTTTAAAAAATTATTACTCTATGAAATTATATAAGATTTCAAAATGAAATTGACATAAATACTACTTTTTGTTTAAAAGTACATTTCCTAAGCAAGTCCCAAAGGGACAAATATCATATGTTCTCCCTGATGGTGACAACTAACAGTGCACCTAAAAGGAAACCTGTTGAAGCGAAATGGACACTAAGAAACAATGACTTGATCAGCCCTTGTCCTGACTGTCGAGGAACAATTTACTACTTTATTCCTTTTAGTATTTTTTTGTTCTACTTAATACCATTGGTTGAACTCTTTAATTAACACACAATTATTCTTAGGTGTTTAAATATAAGAGTGGGAATAAAAGAGGGAGGAGATGTACAGTTCAGCACATGCTCACTCGGACTTACCCCTAATGGTTAAGTTAGAAACATGCCAGGGAATTCCAATTCAATCCCATCAAGGTGGCATGTACCAATGTCATCTCACTAGTCAAAAGTGATCAGTTTCAGTTCATAATTGATCATAACGACAGGATTAAGTGTCAAAGGGATCACATAAACAAGACTAGTGTCTGCTAATACTAACTGATAGAATTAAAAAGGATAGAACGATCCAACATGGGAAGCGAGATACACAGCAGACTCACAGAATGGCAGATGTCCTAAATAGCACTCAGGCCTCAGAATCAGCCCTTCAGGCATTCGGATCTGGCTAAAAAGCACATAAGAGTATTTCAGGCATGGAAAGCCAAGACACTCTGGCAAAACAAAAACAAAAACAAACAAACAAACAAAACACAAAAAACAAAAAACCAAAAAAAAAACAAAACACAAAAACCTAAATGAAAGATCTCTGTGAGTGAGATCCCAGTGGAAAGAACAGGCCATCAAAGAAGGAAGTATCTTTCTCTGAAGGGAGGAGAGAATTTCCACTTTGACTATGACCTTGTCTAAATAAGATCGGAGTTGGTGTACTCATGACAAGAGCCTTGGGTGATTACTGACATCATAAATAATAGTGTCAATTGTTAAATCAACAACAGGAGTCACTGTGCACTTACTCCCCATGTAGGATCTCTGTCCTTAATGTGTTGTACTATGTGAATTAACGGTATAACTAGTACTCAAACAGCACTTTATACTTTGTGTGTCTGTGTAGGTGCAATATGTTGAAATCTTTACTTAGTATATACTAAGTAGATCTTCTGTATATAAAGATAATTGAAAATGAATCTTGATGAAGAATGGCATGGGAGAGGGAGTGGGGGAGATGGGATGGTTGTGGGCAGTAGGGTGGTTGGGGAGGAAAAAACAAAGGAAAAAAAAGTACATTTCCACTAAAATATATGAAGATTTAAAGCACACAGATGACAATAAATAAAGAAAGGAAAAGAAAAAAAAGCACATAGTTGGAAGAAATTTAAATCATTAAAAAAAAAAAAAAAAACAAAAAACTTGTGCTTCAGGGGCCAGCACTGTGGAACAGTTGTTAAAGCCATGGCCTTTAGCACCAGCATCCCATACAGGCACCAGTTCAAGTCCTGGCTGCTCCACTTCCAAACCAGCTCCCTACTAATGCTCCTAGGACAGCAGCAGAGGAAGGCTCAAGTCTTTGGGCCCCTGCACCCACCGATGTGGGAGACCCAAAAGAAACTTTGGCCTGGCCCAGTCCCAGTCATTGTGGCTATTTGGAATGATGGCCTGGGAAGGCAGTGGAAGATGGCCCAAGTTCTTGGGGCTCTGTAACCATGAGGGAGACCCAGAAAAAGATCCTGGCTCCTGGCTCTTGACTTTGGATTGGCCCAGCTCTGGCTGTTGCAGCCATTTGGAGAGTAAACCAGCAGCTAGAAGACCTTTCTCTCTATTTCTTCTTCTCTGTCTATAACTCTGCCTCTCAGATAAATAAAATAAAAATCTTTAAAAAAAGAAGTCTTACATAAAAAATAATATAGATGTAAATTTTAATATTTTCTTACCATTCTGAAACATTTTCATATTAGATAATGTACATAGGCTAAGACAATATACATGGTATCTCTTCGAAAATTCACTTGCTTAAAGAACAAGAAACTTATTTCTTTCTCATATAATAGTTTGGTCAAGGACCAGTAGTGGTTGTACTCTAGTCAGATATTCAGGCTGATAAGGCTCTACTATATTCAACCTCTGGCTTCTAAATCTGCCATAGTCATTTCAATTCTAGTAAGACAGAGAAGAAAGAACATGGACAAATACGCATACAAGTTTATATGGCCCTTGTCAAGAAATAGCAAACATTTAATTTAGGCTCCTGGAATTCAGCGACAGTCACACCTGATTGCAGAAATGCGACAACATATATTCTAGTGATATACTAAAGAAGGTAAGCATTTATTTGGGTAGACAGGTTATATAGTCTGCCAAAAGTCTTCAAACACATTACATACAACCCACTTCAGAGACCACCGATCTGGATTATGTAGCCATGTAAACCACATGGGAGTTTGTTCCTGAGGTTAATCTCTGGAGATTCTGATTCTGTATGTTTTGGATGAGGGTCCCAAATAATTATTTCAAATAAGCACTCTAGGTGATTCTGATGTAAATCGTACACAGATATTTTGAAAATCATTGCTGCGGCCCTCTGGTTCTAATTTTGTGATTCATAAACACGCATAAACTTGATAAAGAAGAGAAGATGCTCTAATCTTTCCTCTACATACAGCTTGTATCTAGTGTAAAAAGAAAACAAGATAAAAGGAAAAGAAAGATGGATGTCCTTATTCCAATCTACTATAGACGATACTAATTTTAGCAGGTTCCAGGAAATCATGGCCAAAATGTAAGTGCTACAAATTTTTCACTATCATTCAATATTTTAAAAGTTCTAAGGCTTTTTAAAAACAGAACACTATAAATACCGACCTAACACTTTTGCCAAAATCACATAATTAATTCTGACTCAAACTCAACAAAATTAGAAAATCAGCCATATGATATCCATGAAATTCACAGACTTTATTTTTAGGTCAATTGTTCTAGCTTGCCTGACTTCCTGGAACACGAGTCAAAGACACCTTGCACAATTAGGAATAGTAGTATTCCTAATTGGGGGAAATAAGTCACAGCTATCAAGTTATGAAGTCTTAGAGAGATTCAGTTCAACCTAAGTTTCATTTGTTTTCAAATTAAATCAGGAAATTTGCTATGTGGAAAATACAAAAGCCCCCATAATAATGAGAATGTTACTGAGCCTTGATAAGTTAACTACTTTGTTCTTGCTACTGCCTGCATAAAAGAGATACATGTTGGCATTATTATAAATCAACTTTGCCTCCATTGCCAAAAGAATCACTGAGACCACCTCTGCCCTTGTATCCCTGCCAAATTAATGTATTTTCCCTCTCCATAGTCCCCCTCTGGACCATGAAAACCATGGCTACTACTTTTGTGTTAGTGCTATCCACATTTCCAGACTTGAAAAGAACACTACGATGATTAAGGCTGGATTTTAGTATCACAGTAGTGATATAACCTTGTAAAGCCCAAATCAGAACCCTGGCCAAGGAATGCCTCCTAAGAAAACCAAGAATCTTAAAAGAGATACAAACAAAAACAAAAATAATCCAACACAGATCTTTACATTCATCACAAAATTTAATCGAAATTAATCTGACTTACATGTAAAACATAAAGCTATAAAAATCTCTGAAGATAACAGGAGAAAATTTAGATGATCTTCGGTATTTGTGATTATTTCTTAGATATGACAGCAAAGGCATGATCCATGAAAGAAATAAGTTGGAGTTCACTAAAATTAAATTTTCTGCCCTGTGAAAGATAATGTCAAAACAATGAAAAGCCAAGTCATAGACTAAGAGAAAAATATTTGAATTACAAAATTCTGATAAATAACTATTACCCAACCTATACAAAAGATACTTAAATTCAACAGCAAGGAAATGAACAATCTGGCTTGTAAAATGATGCAGTGGCTTAAGGCACTGCCTATAACACCAATATGCTATATTAGAGTGCCAGTTCCAAGTCCTGGCTGCTCTACTTAGGGTCCAGCTCCCTGATAACGTCCCTAGGAAAGCAGCATAAGGTAATCCAAGTACTTGGGCACCTGCCTCCCAGATGGGAGATCTGGATGAAGTTCCAAGCTCCTTGTGACCATTTGAGAAAGTGAATCTACAGAAGGAATCAGAAATGAACAATCTGAGTGAAAAATAGGAAAAACACATTAACAGATACCTCAAAAAAGAAGATATACAGATGGCAAATAAGCATGTAAGAAGATGCTCCATATCATATATCACCAAGGAAAGGCCAATTAAAATAACAAAGCAATACAACTGCATACTTGTAAAGATAGTCAAAAACCGGAACACATGATATCAAACACTGGTGAGGACAGGGAGCAACAAGAACTCTCATTCATTGTTGGTATAGCCACTTTGGAAGACAGTCCAGCAGTTTCTAAAAAACCTAAACTTTTTCAGATTTCAGATTCTTCCTCCATACCATATTGACACAGCAATCTGTTATGAGGTATTTCCCCAAAGGGATTGAAATTGATGCCCACATAAAAATCTGCCTGTTAAGCACCAGTGTTAAGGTGCAGCAGGTTAGGTGGCTGTCCGCAACATCAGCATCCATACATGTACCAGTCGGAGTCACAGATGTTCCACCTTCAATCCAGTCTCCTGATAATGCATGTGGGAAAACAGCAGAAGATGGGCCAAGTACTTGGGGCCCTGACACCCACAAAGGAGACATAGAGTTCTGGGCTCCTGGCTTGGGCCTGGCTGTTGTGGCCATGTGGGGAGTGAACAAGAGGGTGGACAATCTCTCTTTCTCTCTCTCTTTTTCTCCATCTCTCACTCTCTGGAACCCTGCCTTTCAAATAAACAAATTTTTAAAAAAATGTGTACATAAATGTTTACAGAAGTCTTATTCACTGCTACAAAATGTCCTTCCATAGATAAAGGTTAAACAAGCTGTGATACATCCAGAAAATGGAATATTACTTAGTGTTAAAAATTATTAAGCTATAAGCTATCACGGCTAATATTATGATGCAGCAAGTAAACCACCACGCACAATGTTGGCATCCCATGTGTCTCAGCTGTTCTACTTCCAATCCAGCTCCCTGTTGGTGGTCTGGGAGAAGCAGTGGAAGATGGTCTAAGTGTCTGGGACCCTGCCACACATGTAGGGGACCAAATAAGGCTACTGAGTTCTGGTTTCAGCCTAACCCAGTATGAGCTGTTGTGGCCATTTGTGGAGTGAACAAGCAGATGGAAGATATGTGTGTGTGTGTGTGTGTGGGGGGGGGTGTGTTGCCCTCTCTCTCTATGAAATTCTTTCAAATAAATGAATAAGATCTTTAAAAGAAAAATTACTAAGCTATCAAAGCATGAAAAGAAAAATAAAGTAAGTGAATATTACGAATTGAAAGAAGTCAATCTGAAATGACTATCTACTACATAAAATTGAGTATATAACATTTTGGAAAAGGCAAAACTGTAGAAACAGTTAAAAAAAATTAGTAGTGTCAGGAGCCAGAAGAAAGGGAGGGTTAGAGGAGGCGAGGAGTCGGAGGCTTTGAGCTGGTCATAATGGCAGGTGAAGAAATTAATGAAGACTATCCAGTAGAAATTCATGAGTATTTGTCTGCATTTGAGAACTCCATCAGCACTGTGGATGAGATGCTGAAGACCATGATGTCTGTTTCCAGAAATGAGTTGTTACAAAAGTTAGACCCACTTGAACAAGCAAAGGTGGATTTAGTGTCTGCGTACACATTAAATTCAATGTTTTGGGTTTATTTGGCAACTCAAGGAGTTAATCCTAAGGAACATCCCGTAAAACAGGAATTGGTATTCTTGATATTACTCTTTTGGCTGATGGGAGATTTTCCAAGTTACTATGTACGTTTGATGTAGCCCAAAGGATGGCAGCTTCAGCCTGCTTCACTGCTTTCTGGTCCACAGAGATTTTTATCTTGTTTTTGAGCTCACCATTATATGTTTGTTTTTCTGTCCTATACTTTATCTACCATTGCTTTCTTTATGGAGTAAACGGTGAATCAAAGCATCAGCTCACTGCGCCACACTGAGTGAAAGTCTAAAAGAACTGTGGAAATGACCTCCGTGTGTCAGACACCTCAAACAGGTGGAAGTTTCACTGCATAACATCGGATGAGTTTCCTGATCCTGGAACTCCGGAGGGAGACAGTGACTAGAGAATGCCAGGCGGAGGACTTGGTCTCATCCAGTGGTGGGAGGGGAACTCCATCCCAAGACTGCTTGTTTGCTGTGTGTGTTTCCCTCTCCAGTTCTCACAGAAAATGTCTGTCTGCTTATCTGAAAGTGAGCTAGCCACACTCAGCAAGTTGTTTTGCCTTTAAGTTTTGGCTTAAAGGATTCTTCCAGATATTGTTTGCATGTAGACTCTTGGATGGGGTGACCTAATGTATCTGGTATTGGGGATAAGTTCCCCACAGAACTCTGTCCTGCAGGATGTCTTTGTGTTGGAGTGAGTTTTCTTGACAGTTACAGATCTAGTATATGATGTCCTCAAGTTGATAGTGCAGGAAAAGTCTACTTACATTTTGTTTTGAAAGAATCCTCTTATTTGGTTTGCATTAGTTATTGAATAGGAAGTATTTCAAAAGGATTTGTGTTTCCAGTTGAAATAAAAGTATCCAAAAATCAAAAAAAAAAAAAAAAAAAAAAGAAAGGGAGGGTTAGATAAAGAGAACTTTTAGGAAAGTGAATTATATTATATTAAGTACTATAGGAAGGTTACTTTTATTTTGGGTTTTCAAGTAATGGGGAAAACATGCCATGGCCTGCTTGTTTTTTAAACTGTTTTCTTCATAACTAGTGTTAACTTTATTGCTAAATTGGTATTTCTCAATGATGATAGTTTGAATAGAGATAACACGTAATATATATTATTAGATGAAAGCAAAACAAATATTAGCACTTACTGCATTCCATTATTTCAAGTCTTTTTTTTAAAAAAAGACTGATTTATTTATTTATTTATTTGAAAGGTAGGGGCCGGCGCCGTGGCACACTAGGTTAATCCTCCGCCTGCGGCGCCGGCAACCCATATGGGTGCCAATTCTAGTCCCGGCTGCCCCTCTTCCAGGCCAGCTCTCTGCTGTGGCCCGGGAGTGCAGTGGAGGATGGCCCAAGTGCTTGGGCCCTGTACCCCATGGGAGACCAGGATAGGCACCTGGCTCCTGCCATCGGATCAACGCAGTGCGCCGGCCACACTGCGCTTGCCACAGCGGCCATTGGAGGGTGAACCAATGGCAAAGGAAGACCTTTCTCTCTGTCTCTCTCTCTCTCACTGTCCACTCTGTCGAAAAAAAAAAAAAAAAAAGAGAGAGATATTTTTGTCTTAAATAAAGAAAATATGGTAGATATGAAGCATCTCCAAAATTCATGGAAATGAATATTATAAAAACAGTATGCATGAATCTCAATTTTTTTGCATCAAAATAAACATCTTGTAATTCAATTTTCCACAAACTTTTTTGAATTATGCTCATATACATAATAAAATATTATTCAGCAATAAAAAATGAAATCCTGTCCTTGGAGCAAGGTTGACAAAACTGGAGGAGATCATGTTAACTGAAATAAGCTAGGCACAGAAAAGGAAATACTGAATCTTCTTGTTCTGATGAGAAAGCTAAAAAAATTGACTGCATAGAAGTACATAATAGAATAATAGCAATTAGAGGTTACCAAGGGACCCAGGGAATGGGATACGCAGAGGTTGGATAATTGGTACCAAAGTACAGTTACATAGGAGGATTAAGATTTTTGAAATGTTCTATAGCACAGTGGTTTACAATAATTTATTACATATTTTATAAAGAACTAGAAAAGAGAAGTTCAAAGGTTCCTAATACAAAGAAATAATAAATCTTTGAAGAAATGGAAATGCTCAGATTTTGTCATTATATTTTTCATTATATAAATGTATTGAATTATCATACTATATTCATAAATACATAAATATTATGTCAATGAAAAAGAGATGCAGTGTATACCTAGAAAAGTTTTATTTTAAAAATAAATATGCAATTTTTAAAATATTTGGATTCCTTTTATACTTCTGAACATGTAGTATTTTTCAAAATATAGTATAAATGCCTGGCTCTTATCAACTGCCCCCTGTAGAGAAAGAGTTTTGCCTATCGTGTTCATTATTTCTGCAGTCCCAGGCCAAGAGTTGATGCTCATTAAATTTTTATGGAAAGAATAATTTAATGAATCAATATTTCATTTGTAGTCAATGTCTTCTGATGTTGTAGAAAAATCTTCCATTTCCGATACAACTCCCTACTAATGGACCTGGGAAAACAGCAGAAGATGGCCCAAGTGCTTGGGCCCCTGTATCCACGTGAGAGACCCAGATGAAACTCCTCAGCCTGGCCCAGTCCTGGCCATTGTGGTTATTTGCAGAGTGAACCAGTAGATGGAAAATTTCTCTCTCTCTCTCTCTCTCTCTCTCTCTCTCTCTGTTTTACTCTCTCTCTCTCTCTGTAACTATGACTTTTTTTTTAAAGATTCATTTATTTATTTGAAAGTCTGAGTTACACAGAGAAGAGGCAGACAGAGAGAGAAAGAGAGTTCTTCCATCCGATAGTTCACTTCCAATTGGCCGCAACTGCCAGAGCTGTGTGAATTTGAACCCAGGAGCAGAAGCTTCTTCTGGGTCTCCCACGTGGGTGCAGGGGCCCAAGGACTTGGGCCATCTTCTACTGCTTACCCAGGCCATAGCACAGAGCTGAATCAAAAGTGGAGTAGCCAGATGTTGAACCAGTGCCCATATCAGATGCCGGCACTTCAAGCCATGGCGTTAACCCATTGCACCACAATGCCAGCCACAAACTTTCAAATAAAAAAAATCTTTAAAAAAAATCACTGATTAGGTTCACAAAAATCCTGCATAAAAATGCTCATAGCAAATTTATGTGTGGCAGCCAATATCTAGAAGCAACCGAGAAGTCTTTTGATCAAAAGGCAAACCATGGACTATACATACAATGAATACTATTCACCAGTTGATATATGAGGAAAGCCAATCTGAAAAGGGCAGATACTTTCTGAAGTCCACTTATTTCATGTTCTTGGTAAAACAAATTATAATAATGGAAAATAAATCTGTTTGTAGCAGAGGTGGTATGATGATGTGAAGAGTGTGATTATGAAGTGAAGGTACAAAAGATATTTTGGGAATGATGGAAGTATTCTTTGACTAGAAAAGGAAAAAATTGGTTTTACTGTTTAAATACTTAAAATGATAAGATTTTTTTTTAAAGCTTTACTTATTTATTTAAAGGGCAGAGTTACAGAGGGGGGGGGAGAGGAGAGAGAGAAAGGAGAGAGGGGAGAGAGGGGAGAGAGAGGAGAGAGAAAGGAGAGAGAGAGAGAGGTCTTCCATCCACTGGTGCGCTCCCCAAATGGCAGCAATGCAGGAGCTGGGCCAATCCAAAGCCCGGAGCCTGGAGCTTCCTCTGGGTCTCCCATGTGGGTGCAAGGGCCCAAGACCATCTTCTACTGCTTTCTCAGGCCATTGCAGAGAGCTGGATAAGAAGTGGAGCAGCCGGGACTTGAACCAGAACCCATATGGGATATCAGCACTACAGGTGACAGCTTTACCCACTAAGCCACAGTGCCAGCCCCTAAGATAAATTTTTAAAAAGAGATAATAAAAATTAAATTAGGGTGTCAGCATAAATAATCTATCCATAAGTAAACTGTCTTTAAATGAGTAAGAATTACTTTGGGGCCAGTGTTGTGGCACAGTTGCTTAAGTCACAGCCTGCAATGCCAGCATCATATATTGGAACACTGCTTTTACTACCAGTTGTTGTGCTCCTGATCCACCTCCCTACTAATGCATCTGGGAGAGTACTTGTACCATCTTACACTTACATGGGAGACTCAAATGGAGTTCTGGGCTCCTGGCTTTGGCCTGGTCCAGACCAGGCTGTAGTGGCGATGATGGGAGAGATGGAAGATCTCTTTCTATCTCTCCCACTTTCTCTGTCATCCAACCTTTCAAATAAACAAAACAAACCTTTTTCTAAAACACAATCACTTGAATAAACTCATTTATATAGCAAAAGTTATAGTGGAATATTTCCAAATTATCTGAATTTTTTTTAACAATTGACCTGACAGTTTTCACAGCTACTAAAATATGGAATTATCCTATATCAAATTTCTGTCATTCTTTGGCAAAACAGTGAAGAGAATTCACTACTAAGTGCTACTTATGATCCTTGTCACAATACTGTATAAAAAATGTATAAATGATATTTTGGGATAATCAGAAAAATCTAAAAATAGATTTATATCACAACAATATTATATACAAATGAGGGTACTGTGCATAAAGGCCTTATTTTAAGATACACATGTGGAAATATACAGTGGTGAAGCACCATGATGTCCGCAACTATTTTCAAGTGGTATAGGTAAAAGAGGGAAGAAAAAAAGTGATACATGAATATGTACAAGGCATGTGCTATAAAATATTAATCATGAATCCAAGTGCAGACAGTACAGCTGATCATCATACTCTTCTCTCAACTTCTCTGAATGTCTGAAAGTTTTCAAAATAAAAAGTTGAAAAAAGAATTGAAGGCCGGCGCAGTGGCTCAATAGGCTAATCCTCTACCTAGCGGCGCCGGCACACCAGGTTCTAGTCCCGGTCAGGGCGCCGGATTCTGTCCTGGTTGCCCCTCTTCCAGGCCAGCTCTCTGCTGTGGCCCGGGAGGGCAGTGGAGGATGGCCCAAGTCCTTGGGCCCTGCACCCCATGGAAGACCAGGATAAGTACCTGGCTCCTGCCTTCAGATCAGCGTGGTGCGCCGGCCGCGGCGGCCACTGGAGGGTGAACCAACAGCAAAAGGAAGACCTTTCTCTCTGTCTCTCTCTCTCTCACTGTCCACTCTGCCTGTAAAAAAAAAAAAAAAAAAAAAAAAAAAAAAAAAAAAGAATTGAAGCAAAAAAAAATTGATGGGTTAAAAATGATGAATTTATTACCAAATAATGTAGTTTATGTAACTTCTA